CCACCTCCTCATCCACATCCACCTATCTAGAATTTTTTTTTTGTGCTTGCTTGAACGACACAACAATAGACAGCCATGATAAAGAAACAAAGACATGATTCTTTATATAATGTCTCTAAGGCACATTCGTGAACAAGAATATAAAATTAAAAAGAAGGAAAAAAAGTACTTTGACGCACTGATTTAAAATGTTTAAGGGAATAAGCGTGTATTTACTATAATCTTTATTTCTATTCCTATGTTTCTGTTTATGTTGTATTCACATCGCTACCTGTTTAACATACAATTTACTCGAGATATTTATCAGGTTTGCTATTTCCGTGTGCTTATATGTTTACTTTTTTCCAGCCATACCATTCAATATAGAAATAAAGAAGAGCTTTAAGGCAACTCGTATTTGATATTGTGTTTCAATTTATTTAAAGGTGAATCAATTTTCAGGCATGAAAAAAAAAATCAAATATTTGAGAGATCAAAGGCAAAAGGTGTTGTTTATGAACTTTAAACTTTCGATGAAATAAAAGGCTTTGTGAGGTTTTTTGAAATTCAATAAATAGCTGAACAAATAAAATTGTTTCTGTCCCTCAAGGCTATTGATATAAAATCGAGTGGATTAATAAAACAAAGTAAATATGGACAATTTTTATTGAATAACTTCAACACAATGAGGTATTTATAGCTTCGACAATTTAATTATTTTGCTGTTAAAAAGTTCAATTATTGGCAGTTAAAAAGAGCGGCATATCCATCAATGTAATTGTTTCAATTTTTATTGACTGATTGGTTTTAAAAAAGGCGGTATTAAATGTTCTGAATGATGCAATTACTCCTGTTTGATTTTGTATTAAAAACAACAATCTTCGCGACACTACTTTGACAGACGATTCATCAACTAGTCAACAGCAACTCTAACTGTTGACAAAATCTCCCGCTATTTTCAACAGTAATAATCAAATTTACAAAAACGAAAATCAATCAATCCGCAAAACTTTAGTCACAGCTTCATTTCAAACAAACAAATCAATAGCTGGAAAAAACGTATCTTTTTGGCTCTATCTACAAAGCAACATGGTATTATGAAGTAACCACAGTTAATTCTAAATAAAAGCAATAGCTGATTCTGATTCTGAAATTTTAAACTTTGTTACCAACAATGGTCAACAAGTTCTACTTATAAACTTTCAAAAGCTCTATTTCATGGTAATGCATAAGCTTTTTGGTAATAAAATACAATGAGTGCAACAATACAGTAAAAAGCAGAGGTCGAAGCTGACATGGTAAAAAGCATTTAGAATAAGACGAATTAGGGGCTTTTTGACATGATTTTTATTTGTTTCATTTTGAATATTCATGGATGTGTAAATAATGTAACAGGTTTTTGTGGCATATTTGAGTAAAATTGCATCAATGTGAGGAGCGGATATTTTTCTGTGATCGGTTTTTTGTTGTGCGTATTTTTGATGCAAGCCTTTCCCATGGCTTTTCATCAAGGCGTGGAAACTCAGGATTAATCCTGAAAAATCCCAAAAATCCTAAAAAATCCCTGAACCTTTAAAGATGAAAATGTGAAATCCCTTTTAAATCTCAAAATTATTCATCAAAAACATCAGGGATTAAAAGGGATTTCACATTTCCATGTTTATAGGCTTAGAAATTTTTTAGGATTTTTGGGATTTTTCAGGATTAATCCTGTGTTTCCACGCCATGCTTTTGATGTTTTTTCACGAATATTTATATTTTCACTGTCCATACACCGATAGTTTTACAATCAAAGCAAATATTAAACCTTAAATTAATTCTATTGTCTACCAAAAGCTTAAATACGAGCCTGAAATATTTATAGACCTTTTCCTATATGTGAATTCAAAATTTCAATAAAACTTTAAGAGTATAGAGCTAAGCATTCAGTTCTGGGAAATGTACGCAATATAAACTTTTTTTGATGTCTCATGTTCATCCACAGGCGTACATAACATGTTCCGTAGATGAGTATAAAACTTTATAGCAACAAGATCGTTAGTGCATGTATGTGAGATTCGCTCAATTATAAAAATTTTATTGTCTGTCATTGTAGGAAATATTTCTGTATCTTTTGAAGGGAAATTTAGAGGATATATTATTTGATTGTATAGTAAAATTGATGACAAGGACAGTCGTTTTATTGAAAAACGAGGATGTCGGCAAAACATGTAAATCTACGAGTCTATATTTGGAAATTTGTTAACAATCGATCTTTTCAATTGAAAGCAGAGTTTAGACAGACTTATTCTTTCTAGAATCAAGTTTCAACACTGATATACTTTTACAATAGTTGGTAGATCTATTAATACATGAAAAGCACAAGCAACTTCAAGTTTTATATGAAAATCTGATAAAAATCATAAAATATGATTCTCTCATTACATCCTAGACAAACAAGCGAAACCTTTCTTTCCAAGCCTTATTCAGATTTCAATCATGCTGCATAAATTGTATGTTACATGAGAATATTTTCTTTTCATAAAAATAAATCTTATAAACTTATGTCTGATTCCTCCTTTTCAACGCACAAATAAAAGACTTCATTATCATGCTCCATTCATAATGCATTTGAATGATTCCTTTATAAGTCTTATTAAATTTATTAGTTCCAATATTCAATACAACCGCCGTAAAAGAGAAACTTCATCGTCTCATTATAATAAGCTATAGGCTACGCTAATAGTAAGTATGTTTGAATAGTATGCAATATGAAGAGTTAAGTTTCAGATTATTCACACAAAACATTGAATACAAAGATGATGACGATGATGATGTCGAGTGAATAAGCATCATATTTAAGTGTAGCGGAAGGAAGAAAAAGCAATGTGATGTAAAGAAGATGAAGATCAGAATTAATATGGAATTTAAAAAAAAATATAAGAGTTTCAAATCGCGCGGCATGAAGAACAGAAAGAGAGAAAATTAAATGAGATTCGTATAAATACTTTGTATTCAGAGGGAAAATTGGAAAAGTTTCCGCATGCATGGTAATGAGTTTAGCGCATTTCATGTGGAAATGCTTGACTAAAATGTTTTTCTTTAGAATTCAGCATGAATTTTAGAGAATTTCGTGGGAGAATGGCTTGATGATGTACATATGGAGTGACTTTAAATGTGTTTTTTTGGATATAGGCTGTAGTTTGGTTCTAGGAAGCATCAGAATAGGTTTAATTTTGAATTGAGAATTGCAGGACATTAGTAAGCTTTAGGATTCCATTATTGACACATTTGCTGTCCTAGTTGTTGTATTATGTTCTTTTTCAATCCTTTATGTAGATCCAGTTACTCTGAATATTTGATTATCTTGCTTTTCCCACCTAATCTACCACAGGACATCCAAGAATTAAAAAATTTGGCAATGTTAGACACACAAAAGTAATTTAATTCCAAAATTCAAAGAAAACAAAGTGTCAACAACACAATGACACAAATTTCATCTAAAACACCACAAAGCGCTAGACATACAGCCAAACAAACCTCCAAAGATTACCCAGAATATCCTATTTCCATTGCCAAGTAAGCTGGCAGTGAAAAAGACAGAGAAATAAAGAGAGAGTGAAAAAAAGAAATAATAATCTTCCAACTTTTGTGGCTTTAGGGTGGCTGTGTTGATGCTTAATTCTACTTACTGATGTTGCTGCTTAAAAAAATTAAAACATTTTTTTTAAAGAGAATGAAAAAGTCTGTATGTTCATGTACATAAAAAAAATGTTCATACACTTTATGCCATAAAATGTTGTTGCTAAATAAGAAATCCGTAAGGCACACGCTGGCGTGGCGCCAGCCTGGGGACAGCGTCAACCTGGCACGGATCAATCGGTGCCGGTGTGAATTTAGCACCGTGCCGGCAACGTGATAGTCTTCATACTGGATTTTCGGCCATTTTCTACATACACAGCACCGGCGTTGATGTTTTTTCACACCGGTACGAATTTGGCCCGGTTTCGGTGTGAAGCTGGCACCGTGCCAGCTATGAGACGGTATCAATGCTGTTTTTATATTGTGGACACCGGCATGCTTTATATTTGACGCCAGCACGAATTCGGTACCTGTAAAAAATTGCGCTGAAATTGCGCCAAATTATATACAAAAAACAATTAAAATTTAACAAAAATAATTTTCCTTTATTGGTTTTATTTCAAAATATTAACCTTTCATAATTGTTTATTCACATTCCTGATTTTTCATGGTATTTTATTGCGTTCCCTGACTTTCGTTATCTAAAGTGTTCAGTTTCTTATTTCTTGGAGTAGCATGAATGGATTTGAAAAACTTTTGAATGGAGCTTTCAGTCTCGATCGTGCTAACAAATGGCTTTTCGTTCATATTTTTTAAAATCTTATTGCAGATAAGAAAAATAAAGCGGATGTGGTTTTTATATTTATCGAAACCCACTGTCACTACAAAAAAAAAGTTTTTAATATTAATACAACTTGTAGTTAAATTAACTTTTTTTATACTCACATTTAAGTGAAGCCCAAATTAATGATTTGGCAAAATTTATATCCAAGTACATCTTCAAAAAACTATGGACAAGACCATTTTGTACAGTGAAATTTTTATTTGGACTTACTACTGAAGCTGTGTAGAAATTAAACTATAATAAAAGTATTTTTCATTAATTAATCATTATTTTTAAATTTCAAATCTTCATCTATACCAGAGGCCGATTTTTTCGGCTTAACTCAATTTTTGATTTTTTTGATAGAAAAAAGCTATTTAACACCCATTTTAAGTATTTAAATTGAACTTTACATGCTTTACTATGATTCTGTGAAATATTTTTTCAGCATGTAGCTATAATGAGCTCAGAATTTCAAGTTAAAGAATGTTAAGCCGAAATTTAAGCCGAGCTTACTATAGCTACATGCTGACAAAATATTACAAAGAATCATAGTAAAGCATGTAAAGTTCAATTTAAATACTTAAAATGGGCCCATATGTGTGTTAAATGGCTTTTTTCTATCAAAAAAATCAAAAATTGAGTTAAGCCGAAAAAATCGGCTTCGATCTCTGATCTATACTGACCATGGCTTTGTAATCATTTAAGAATGATTCGTTCATCAATCCAAGTTTTTCCTCCATTTCATTTAATTCTTCAGTCGTTGATATGATTGGCGGTTTATATGTAATGTCTAAGGAATCATTTCTTTGTGCAGCCAAATCATTTTTAAGTGATTTGAATTCATCTCGCACCATTTCCATAAAATTAGTCATCAAATTCACTTGATGCTGTTGAGTAATCTTTATATTTTGAATTTCATTTATCAAGTAATCCAGTGATTCCTTTGATACCAAAACCATGTTTCCTTGTTGTGTATGCTGGACTTGTCTTGGCGAAAACGAATCGAATCGAAATGGTGTTTCCGAGAATACATCCTAAATAAAGTAAAAAAAAAATGGAAAAATCAAGCGAAATTCTTAAAATTTTCGAAACCAGGTAATTTTTGTCTTTTGAAAAACTCACATCATTGTCAATTATACTTGATTGATTAATTGAATTAGGGACAACTTGGCTTAATAAGGTTTCATCAAGAGCTTCCTCGTCAAATCCTTCATTGAAGTCATATTCCTCTAATGATTCAGTATCGTTCAATTTAATCTTCTTGTTTTGCTGTTTTTCCTCTACATCGGAATTTAAAAATTGAATTTTTTTCTCAATGAAATCGTTAGCTTCTTTTAAATCTGTTATAAAAAATAATATCAAAATTTTAATTAAATTCATTTTTAAAATATAAATATATTTTTACCTTGAATGTCATTCAATTGAACAAAAATCTCTTCGTGCTTCCAATTTTTCTTAACGCTAGTACCTTTTTCAAGGTACTTATTCATTTTGGCTGGAGCAGGATAATATGCATAAATTTTTCCTTCCTCATCTACTTCACTTAGCCATATTTTACGTATCACGTAAAATGCATTCTGTTTATTCTTTACAACAGTGAACATGATTATCGCTTTCTAAATCAAGAAATTTTTATAAGTAAGTAAGCAAATAAGCAACTAACTAGGTTAATGATTTTTTTCCATAATCTATTCAGAACTATTCAATGTTTTGATATAAGTTTTACATTTTTTTAAGTTTTAAGTAAAATTACTTATTGGTGCAAAAAAAAGACTGTCTTCCTCTGTAATCATACACATTAGTTTTCTTTCAATCTGTGTCATGTCAATCAAAAACTTTTCACCTTCATATTGAGTGGAAGCATGAAAAAAATTCAGTTTTGAAGCAACTATTGGCTTTAAAAAGAAGTCTTCAATAATTTTCAATCTACGGCATAAAAACTGGCACTTTTCAAAATTAACAATCTTTAAAATAACAATTAAATCTTTTTGTTTTGTTAAAAAGAATCTATCTCTACAATCCTTTGTGTCAATTCGAATGCCTTGATAGTACAAAAACGTTTTGCCCTTTTTACTTAAATTTTTTTGAGGCACTAAATTGTTTGGGCAATTAAAGTATTCTGTTATGCGTCTAAACATTTGACTTAATGGTAATTTAGGGCCATGAACTAAATTCTTTATAGGGGTCATGTACGATTCAAATTCCCAGGTTGAGAATTTGTCACACGGCTGTTGCTGAATAATCACTTCGTCTGCAAAATGAGTGGATTGATGTACCATTGGTACGTATAAATGGTCTCCATATAAAATGGCAATTAATGAATTGAACTTACTGAGCATTTCATGTGCGATTTGATTGTACTTAATACAAATTTCTGGGCTACATAAAATTGAAAAAGAACATGTAAGAAGCAAAAAATGCTGATAAAAAGACTGTGATATTGTGTGTTTAAATATCAAAGGTGCAATTTTTAACAAAATTATTCGCCATTCATGTCCTTTAAAACTTGAGATATCGTTAATATTACGAAAAGTTCGATGAATTTCAGTCGGCAAAGTTAAATTAATTTTGTCTAATATTTCATCAATTTTACTACGTGACTTTGGAAATAAGGGTTTATCTGGACCAATTAACTTCCTAAACAATCTTCGGGTAGTTCCTAAACAAATTACATGTAAAAAGTCGAGTGGGAATTGTGATATCGTATTAATGCATAGTTCTCTCTCAACTAAAGAATCTCTCACATGAAATTTCAAATCTGTCCTGTCTTTAAACATTTGATCTGTTCGTTTGACATCACTTTTTTTAAACAACATTCTTCCATCTTCTCTACATCCATTACACAAACAACGAACGCATGACCTGTAACCTGCATGACCAATAATTCCCAATGTTGAAGCTCTAGCGGGAGTGTCCAAGCAAAAGTTATTTAATTTTACAGTTACACAATTTATAACAATTCCTGTGTCTAAAATGGCTTTAAGCTCATATACAAATTCTGATAAAAAATCATCAAAATCATCAGGTTTTCTAGGCCCATTATACAGTCCAATTGGAATTATTGAATTTTCGTAACCATTAATTCTGGCAAGAATGACCCAAAAAGTTTTATTCTTAGAAGTTTGATGAACACTAACTCCATCGATAAATATATCAAGCTTTACTATGGAATTTTTTAACTCTAATTGCCTTATTTTGAAAATTATTCCGGATTTTAATCCAAAGTGGACGTATTGGCCAGGCATAACATTTCTTACATTCGTTATTCTTGGTGTTTCAAGGATTGTGCGATAATCAAGTGGAATTTTTGGGAAGATAGGTTTCAATAATTTTAAAATGTCATTAATTGCAGTGCACGGAATTTTTTTTCTCAATGCTATAATACGGAGGCCACTTACAATATGATTTACAGCTTCACTATCCTTAACTTTTGTCTCAACTAATAATTTTTTTTTAATAAGATCGGTTTTTTCATTTATTAATTTAGTATTACTGTCAGTTATAAAAAGAGAATTAAGTTGACTTTCAGATCTGACTCTAAGTTCGTTAACTTTTTTTATTGAAAATTTTGTGCAATTATCTATGCAAAGACTATCCGCATCTTTTTTTGATATTTCTAATGGCTTATCGGAATTATATTCTATATTATTTTTTGACTCTATTGAATTGTTTTCATTAATGAAAATTTGAGTACACACGGATTTTTCAAAAGATTTTTTAGATTCATTTTTTTTAACTTTTGTGCCGATGTATTTAGATTTGAAATGTTTGTTGCTAACTTGTGACATAAGTTTTTTATTTCTCCCCATTGTCAGCTTACTTTATATTATGCACCAATAAATAAATTTACTCACATCATTAAAATTTTTACTATAACTATAGACTTGCTGGATTATCTTAGGTATACCAAGGTCCAAACAGTCCGAAAATCCAGAAAAGATATCTAAAATTAAAAAAAAATATATTTAACTTTTCGTCCACACTTGTTCATTAGTCTCACGGCACTAATGTGGCACGGATCAAGAACAACGCCAAAAGGACGCTGCAAAAAATTTAATTTTTTCAAATGAAAAAAATCCACTTAATTAAAACCAAAACTTACTTAATTAAACAGCAAATGGAACCAAAAGAGTTTATCAATATGGTTTGACGTCCAAACAGGCCGAAAATCCAGTAAAAATCTCTAAATTCGGAATATAATATTTAAGTTTTTGTCCACACTTGTTTAATAGTCTCACGGCACTAATGTGGCACGGATCAAGAACAACGCCAAAAGGACGCTGCAAAAAATTTAATTTTTTCAAATGAAAAAAATCCACTTAATTAAAACCAAAACTTACTTAATTGAACAGCAAATGGAACCAAAAAAGTATATTAATATGGTTTGACGTCCGAACGGGCCGAAAAATTAATGGCTGAATGAGAAATGTTGTTTTTTAAAGCACTTATATTTTTTCAATTTATTAGCACTTTATTTTCGTGTCAAAAAATAAAAAAAAAATTTCATTACGGCATGAACTTGTCACAATTTTTAAAACATGCCGGTGCCATGCCAAAATGATTCCAGCGCGGTGTTGGATTGAATCCGCAGCACAAATTTGATTTGGTGCTTGGCGTACTCCGTATTGACACCGCTTTTCGGCACGCTGTGCTTTCCGGGAAAGTCACGAGCTAAGACAGGATAAATAAAGCATTGCATGCTGGCAAATCTTGAGGAGAAGGAATCTTGTGTTCATCTTTATTTTGCTTCCGTATTTTAAAATAACAGCAAATATTTTCGTTTCTACAAACTAAGAAGATTAAACATCAAGAAATTATTGTCGCACCCGAGAAAAATCATTGTTGTTCCAAAACAGTTTTCAAGATGGAAAGGAAGGTTTTTTGTTTTGTGTGACTGAATGAGTGAGATGTGTATAAAAAGACAACAATGGTTTGAGGGGAAGGTGGAGATGGAAAGGGAAAAATAAAACAAAAATAACTACACCGAGTGTCATTTTTTGTCTCTGCATTGTAACTTATAAGTAAATGTGTATAATGAATGAGAAAAGTTTTCATTCTTGTCTTTGCTTCCTTTCGGGAGATACTGTGAAAGTGAGAAACTGACGAGAAAAATAGAAAGAAAAAAAAAGTTTCTTTTTGCTGTGGGTTTTTCTGTTATCTTTAAGTCTTATGTGATATGAATGAGAAATGCAATTTGTTTATTGTTGATGTAGCTTCTTCTTTAATTCATGTGATACATTTTAGCAATCCATTGACTTGGGATTGACTCTTTTATTACTGTTGAAATGTTTATAAGTGTTGATGGTGTTGTTGTTTTAAAAGTTTATTTGGTATTTCACAATCTATGTTGAGTGTTATTGCAAAATGAGGGATTTTCAAGTTAAATGCTTTTTGTTTACAGATAAAATGGATTGAAACTGTAAATAAACAGATATATGGTGATTTCTTGATTTCTGTAGATGCCTGGAATGGCTTTTGAATTATTTGACAAATTTACAAGTGTTCTGTAAGTTTTCTTTGACTCCTTCTGCTTGAGTTTAATCTAGATTTCCTAATTATTCTGAATTACAAAAATTCAGCTGTTGTTACTTTCTAGGCGTCTGTTTACATGCCTGGTCCATCTCAATCGATTGATTCGCAGCACCTTCACTATATCAGCCTATTGGTACAGCTCATATAATTCCTCATTATGCCGACTTCTGTATTCCTCCCCATCTTTTATAGGAATGACTTTAATTTAGACTAAATCAGTCTAAGGTTCTTGAACTCAACCTAAACTCTAGAATCAGACTGAATATTAGTTTAGAATAGACTGAAAACTCTCAAAACATTATTTTTGAAGTTCAAACCATTCATTAATCTTTAAAATTCTAAATAACCAATCTTAAAGCTTTAAAGTAGTGTTGCAAATGTAGATGTCTACACTAGATGAAGAATGTAGATTCTTCAATAGTTTTTGTCTAGCTAAGAAACTTTCTTCATAATGATCGATTCAACATGAAGATAGAAAATCTAATCTACACAAAGATTATTTCTATATAAAGATTCTGTCTACATAAAGATTCGATGTAAATGTCTACAATTCTACATTTTTTCCAGGTCTACATCAGAGAAGAATGTAGAATTTTAGACATCTACATCGAATCTTTATGTAGACAGATTCTTTATGTAGAAATAATCTTTGTGTAGATTAGATTTTCTATCTTCATGTAGAATCGATCTTTATGAAGAAATTTCTGTCTCAGAATTTATCTGATCCAGACAAATGGCCAGAATGCAACACTGCTTTAAAGTTCAATTCCAAAAACTCTTTAAATACATCCAAAATGATGTGATAACGAGTTGTAAAGTTCTTCACTCTAAATATATTATAAGCTGCCAAAAATTAAATAAATATTTTACTGTATTCTACGCATACATTGAAAAGCTCCAGTAACCGATTCAACAAACTTTATTTAAGCTCAGGTGAACGTTAATTCCCACAAACCAAATTATACCACTTTTATAGTTGAGCATTGTAACATAAAATGGTGTAACAATGTTACATGCTAGATAATATAGTAAAAATGTTTCATTTCTCCTTGGCTGCGATGCACTGTAATGAAACGATATATGTCATGGTTTCATTACCATCTCATGCACCTGTGAGTGTTTATTAAATTTTGAAGGATGCTGTTTGTTCAAACAAAGAAAACGAGGACTGATTTATTAACTCATTAGTTTCTCTTATAAAGAATAGTTATGCTTAATGCTAAAGATCCCATTATTATCTACATTCAGACGACGGTTGATTATGTTAATAGACTCACCTTGCTTTATTCTTTTTCCTTCTTTAATTCCTAAATGAAACATAATAATCATTAATTTAAATTAATATTGCGAACATTATCTCTTTAATTATAAGATCTGAACTCTGTAAATATTATTATCATCAACATATAATGTAGATTAAACAGAAGCTTATTTTAGTTTTTTTTCTCTCCTCCTCGTCGTACATTCAACCATACCACAACTAAAAATTTTAATAAACATTAATTTTTCAACATAATCCATTTAAATTTAAAATTACAGGATCGATAATCCATTTAATCTGGCACGAAATCTTTTTTGTTTGTTCTTCCATCTCTCTCGCTCATCGCTGTATTCACCTATAATGTATAATATATATCCGTTAAAATACCTCACGAATACGACGATAGGGGTTGAGAGAAAGTTGAAGCGGAGATAGCGGAATGAAAATATGTTACATGTATATGTTGCTGTCTACATGATGCTTTATAGAATATTTTGTTAGTTCCTCGTCAATGTGAACCTAAATAAAGCACAAAACAACAAGAAGAGGAGAGATATTTGAGGCACGAAGCAGTGATATGACAAATGACGAGTCATGTCTAACCGCTTTTTACTTTAACTGTGGATATATGTTTTGGGAAAAAAATATATTCTGAATGGTCCTTTTATGAATGGATGATGTTAGCGCATTTACTTGTGAGGAGGGCTTTTGATTTTCAACATAGTTGGATATCCTACAGCGGAATGACTTGTGTTATTTGATGTTCTGTGCCCATCTTGTCATTGCAAATGGATAGAATTTAATACAAAAGTTTAACATTTTAAATGATTCATTCAGTAACTGTAGCATGGCTTTTGAACACTTATCATTATTACACAGGCTAAACTCTTGGTTGAAATCAAAGATCAGAGACTATGGTGTCAATTTGAATGGAATTTACGGTATTGAGCTATATGATAAAAAAAAAAACCTCTTGTGGGTTCGATTCTCACTCTGGGAACTCCCTGAATTATTCCCAATTTTCAAAAACTATGTGACTTCATTGATCCTCTACATTTGAAAATTCTACTTCTTAACTACTTCAAGATCCCCAACAAAGCTTTAATAAGTGATTATAACAACTATTACAAGCATTAAAGTAATCGAAAAACACCAGAATCTTATGGAGTGCTGGAGAGAGAAGTGAATTTGATTCAGGTACACTTGCGGATTATTTTTGGAATATCCTTGAAAGTTCTTGTTCTTTTCTCAAGTACACACTTTTGAGTTTGAGGATTTACTTGGAAAAAAAACAAAGATATAAGAGATATATTGTAGAAAGTAAGTGCACAGTCTTCAAAAATTGAATTTTTCTGGATCAAATCTTCAAAGATAAATTCCAATTGAGATAAAGTTGAAAGCTACGTACTCGTATTGATTTATAAGAACAAACAGCTCTGCTGAGCATCAGAATTTTTTGCGCGCGTGTTTATTCGTGATCATTAAATGACATTCGGACGATTAATCTGACAGACGGATTTGAGAATAGAAAAAAAAAAAATCTTCCACGATTCTTTAAATGAGCGAGCAGGCAGAATAACAGCACGACCATTAATATGAATAAAAATTGCTTGAAAGGATGAATATTTCGACGTTCGCGAGAATCATTCAATTTCAGATCTCTATCTCCTTAACGATGGATGTGATAATACGAGGGATTTTGTTCTTCTTCTTCGTCTCAGGCATCACTGCGACAATATGAGATAAGGTGTTCATCCCACACTCCATTTCTACTTTTATCCTTTCCTTTCTTCTTTTGCATGTCACAAAAGAGCGTGCCTCTGTTTTTCATCTTAGCATCTACCTGACGTGCTTTATAATATGAAAAGAAAGTGAGACTGAAGGGAGAAAAAAAAAATTAATAAATGAAATGCGAAAGGCAGAAGGAATCAAAGAGCTTTTTTTTTGTTTTGTGTTAAAAGAAAAGATGTTTACTTTATCTATCTCTGTGCCTCCAAACCCCCTCACTAGCTTCCTTTCCATCTTTTGTATTCTATTTCATTCATTCATTTTATTGCTATCGCGTAAATTTTTTTCGCTCCTCCGTTTTCATTTCGTTTTTTTTGTTTGATGCAAAACAAGCGTGCAAAAAACTGGTAGAATGAGGGTATGGGGGACATAGAGGAAGTGCTTGTTGAAAAAGAAGTGGAAATTTTTTTTAATTAAAAAAAAATGCTGAAATTTGTTTTGCTTCTATCTTCTTCGCCATCATTCGCCAATTACGTAGTACTAATGGTTCTTTTTTCTCAATTCATTCCTTCTCCCTTGACTCCATTTTCAACTTGAATGGCACGTCACAATGAATAGAATTTTTTTTGTTCCTTTTATTCTCACATTTATTTAAACAAATTTATATATTTCATGCAAATGTTGAGTATGTAGAACAAATACCATCGCCCCGTAGTTGATGAATATCTTTTTTCATACATTTTTATTACTTTACATTTCTCTTGGTTCCCTCCTTGGCGGTCGCTTCTTGTTTCTATAGTTTAATTTATGAAAAACATTAAAAATAATGGTAAGGTTCCGTGTGATATTAATTTTTGCTTTATGTTGTTTTTCATTAGCATCACAGTTCATAGTGCTTCTGTGTGTTGATATTCTTTTTTTTCCTGCTGATGTTTTTTGTTGCTTTTACTCTTGTTTCTGCTACAACTCATCTTGCATTTCATAATGGATTTTTTTCTTCTTCTCTTCTTGTGCATATTTTTTTATGCTATAAAATGAATGCATTTATGATATTGGTAAGGCGATGGTTTAGTGATGGACAGATTTACTGGCTGACTAAGTGACTTTATTGAATTTAGAGGATGTCTAATATTTGCTATGAATTTATGCTGAATTTTCTAATTTTTTGCAATTTATTTACATTCATGATTTTCTATGGACGACGACAGGATTGGGGATAGTTTTTGAATCAAAACCCTGATACTACTTTGCGGAAGGAACTACAGTGGATTGACGTGCACAAGCTTACACCTTATTTTTAATATTGGCAAAGTTGAAGCACGACAAAAGATGTAACTATGCTGTCATTATCAGCACCAAAACAGCAGCGAACACAATCTGATTTTTCATAGATTTTCATTCTTATTGCTGATATGTTGATGACATCAATGAGTTTACAAAATTGCTTCGTGACTTGAAGTTTTTGATTTTTAAAAACTTTATTAAGGTAGAAATTTCAATTCCTGTTCTTATTTTGTAGCTGTAAAGAAAGGAGAGACTCATTCAAGGGATTAATGTTAAACCTTCTGAGAAAGGCATCTATCTGATCTGAGAGCTACCTACTGTAAACACAGAAATCGATGTAATGTGAGATATAAATAAAAATTGACCGGATGTTTCTAAAACTCATGATTTGACTTGATATAAAGCAAACCTTCCTTTAATCTTGAAGGTTAGGAAAACTTGCATTTATCTTTCATTCATCCTTCAAAAATGCGTTCCTGTAGAAAAATCCAGCTGACGACAATAGTTTACCTAACTCATATTCACTTGCTAAAATAGCAGCACAGCAACAGCGAAGCTTGGTTATATTTTTCCTCATTCTACTTCCCTTCAATACCTCAAAATATTATTCGTTTATTTTTTCTGCTTTTTTTCTTTCTTTCATTCCTTTACAGCAGCCACGAATATGTAGCCTTCATAACAGTGTTGTATGGAAAAAAAGCTGGGTGAGAAATAGGATGTTAGAAGCAATGTGGCAAGATCATACATCTCACAGTTCCCGCTATGTTGTAAATTTACGTTTCTCTTTCTATTTTTCTTCATTTCGCTCTACCTCACTCATCAACAGCAACGCTACCGCCACTATGCCAACAATAGCAAAATGAGAGGATTCATTAAAATAAGAAACAATTAATTTTCACTAATAGTTTCTTGCCTTGCTTCCCTCGTTATATATCTTGCCATTTTTCTCACTGCTTTCTTTTTTGTAGTTTTTCTTCTTTTCTGTTTTCCCTTTCCATTCTCACATTGAGCCATTTATTGAGCTATCCTTTCACAATTTACAAGATTGCTGTACTTCTTCTTTCTCGCACATAAAATTTATTCTTCTACGAGCGGATGGGAAAATTGCAGTTCTTTTTTTTTGTCAAGATTAAATGCGAAAGATTTAAAAACAAAAACGTGTTAATGAGTCGTAAGATCCTTAAAACTATCGCTTAAGTCCAACAATTTAGTGACAATTTTTTCACACACAAAGAGATTTGTAGAGAATACAGCATGGAAGTGATTGTAAATCCTTAGGGCAAAGTTGGATGCTGAGATTCTGGCAGGGTTGAAGCAAGAGCTGGTTAATTGATAAGTTGGAATTATTTTGATGTCATGGAATCTTAAGGTCCTAGTCTCCTGACATACTTAGTGAAAAGGTATTAAATTTTGGTGCTGGGGTTGTTTTGACAACGATTCTAGACATTGCTGTGCCTATAACATTTTACAGAACTAGCTGATGATCCACGACACTTCAAATGATGAGAATTATTGAGCTAGAGATTCAGAGCCAACAGCTCATTTATGATTATTTTATAAAAGTTCTAAGTACAGAAAATTCTGACCATAACACTTTATATTATAACCAAAGGTGCTTCAAGAAGCTTCCTTTCAATTTTTATAATGTTTTCTGATTTCGAGTGGATTATTCAACCTTGATGATTATCTTGTCTACAAAGTAGGTTTCTCATTATATTCTAACCTTCGTTTCATTACCACTAAAAACTAGTTTAAGATAATCACAAAAATAAGGAAGCATGCAAACTATAAAATAAAATTTATTCTCTACTCTATTGAAACCTTTGAATCTACAAGCAGATTAAACACGTTCATTTAAAACTACTTAATAGTTTTTCAATAATGACATTGTGATACAATCAGCCAAAAAGGAAAATAGAGCAACAAAAGATTGAATTCAGGGGCTGATTATTCTATGATGTCAAATGATTAGGAAAAGGTAAGAGTGCAAGGGAAGGGACAACGGTTAGAGCTTTCGGGTGCTTCAAATATAGAATAAATAATTGAACTAGAGTTTTGTCACAGGAGGGGTCCATTTGTTTGATAATTTTAATACATCATGCCTGAACGAACCCCCAAGAAGACGAAGGATAAAAGAAAATTAATAAAAATTAAATGAAAAGAGCTTAAAAATCTCATTTTGTGATCACATTTCATTCTGCTAAGAAGCTTTCAAATTAATTGCATGAAATACATGAACTTAGCATGCACATTCTATCTTTGTATAAATAATTTCATAATAAAATGTATTCCTTATTAAAATAAAAAGAAGGAATTAAGGAACGAAGTGAAAACTACCATGAGGAGAAAAAGTAACTAGCGCCATGTCAGGGGTAATTTTAAATGTGTGAGGAAAATAATTAAGTTTAATTAAACTAGGAAAAAAACATGAAAGTAATTTATCTTTGTTCTATGCCGTTCGAAACTACCATTTTATGGCATTTTTAGCATGAATATTTTTCATAGTGCTTCTAGCGTTAAAGGAAGTTTGTCTGATTTTCTTAAAACAAAGTTTACTTCCTTGAAATATAAAATTTATTTTGGCAAACAACGTTGGAAATATCACCAAGCTAGAGGCCTGTAATACGGCTAAAAGCTACTGTCACTGGCATGGTCCGTTTTGGTAAAATATCGTCCTTATTCCAAAGAGTAGGAGAGCCTTTGTTTATATTTTTATTCCAGCTTATTTGATATTTTTGAACAAGTTTATTACTTGAGGATATCATTCAACCCTCTATATTGGATTGTTATTTCTTCATGGTTGGTAATTTCTTAAAATAACAAGCTGGGTTGACCAAAATGTTCATTACATTCGTAAACAATGTTCGACCTTTAATATGCTGTAATGTAGTCAGAAAGTTCTGGTCATTAAACATTCAAAAATGGAGTTGTAAATTTTGGAATCGAACATGTATGAACTTTTTGTACACTACTTCTATACCAAGAAGTTCTTTTCGTCGCAAAAGAAAATAAAGTCAGATAAAAATCCAGGCCATCTTAACCCCTTAAAAAATTCAACATCGTTCAATAACGACCTCCATACTTAATATCCAGTCAATGCTATGACATAATGCTCGATCATAAAAGAATAAATTAATTAATGAAGCAAGAAAACCTTGAAACCAGTAGAATGTCAATAAATTTTCCAACGTTTAATACCTTCAGTTCCATTAGCATCACCACATACTCCAATACAATTTAGATACATCTCAAAAAGCGTTATTCTCATTAACACTAAAAGGAATTGACCTCGTAACTCATTTTCCCATCTCCCTCACTTTTCCTTCCTTTTAAATGAATATTTTCATTCTTGCTTGCTTGCTTGCTGCTGCTGGCTGGTGCTATATAAATGTAAGTAAAAGATGAAACGAAGGAAATGAGCAAGGTGGTTGTTTGAATGGCACAAACATATACACATTGAGTAAGACAGAAGGAGAGTGAGGTTTGAGAACTAGAAGATGTGGAACAATAAGAACAAGAACAAGAAAAAAAAAACAGCAAAAACATTTAAGCAAGAAAAGTTATGACGCTGTGAAAATATTTTTGAATACGCAGGGGAGATAACGAGCAGAATAGGAGATTCACACAATGTGAGAAAATAGGCATGTTGTAAAATACCCAAATAATTTAACTTTGTTGAAAGTAAATTGTCGCCCCAACTAGAAGGCAAGCAGGCAAGGCATGCGAAAAGAAAATGTATTTGTTGTATACAGAAAAAAAGACTAGATAGATAGGCAGTTAACACTATGAGATGTGTGATCATATATGGCAGCAACATGCATACTTATTCTCATTTTCATATTATGTATATATACGCATGCATATATACATAGTGAAAAAGAAGGAACAGTAATCTTATTAAAATACTCAATTACGTTATTTTGTGAAGGATTCTTCTTTACCCACTTATTCTGTATTCATGTGCGTGTGTTACAAAAAAAGACAACGCAATGAATATAGGAGTGAGGAGCAGCGGCAGCAGCATCACAAAAAAGAAGAATTTTTTTTTTACTGCTTGAAATAATGTCGATGAGGGACTAACACAATGTGAAATAGCTAGAAAAAGTAGTGAATGTTTATGGAACATTCAGCATGAATTCATCTTTGTATTCAAATTTTTGCTCTTTTACCCCATTCCCCACCTCCGACATACCACATTCATAAAGCTCCTTCATTGCTGCCTTGATGGAACATTCTATATACATAGAAACTGTAGAGATAGATACATAAGTACATAGTTAAGTTTCCATAGGAAAAATGGCATTGAGAAGAGATATATTTTGTATGATATTCTGAATATTTTTAAGTGGGGTAAAATGGTAAAACATAGAGCAATGGCAATCCTAAATATGGAGATGCTTCAAAAGCTAGATCATGAAGTTGAAAATGTAATGTCTACTTTACCATTTTTTTTTCTGTGCCGAGCATGGGGTTGAAGATGATAAAATTTGATGACTGTATGCTTCTCGTTTACAGTCAACAGAAGGAGAGAATGACATACAGAAAAAATTTGAAATATTTTTATGTTTAAGTAGCAAATAGTTCAAGTGCTGTAATGACTTTGTAACAAGCAAATGTGTATGTACAGCACAAAAAAAGGTGAATTCTCAAAAAAAAAAAAATATAAAAGAAAACATAAAATTGTAAGTGAGATTCTCAAAATTAATGAAAATGAATTAAGTAAGATAAAATTGCTCCCCAGTTGCAAATATGAAAAGGCATAAATCTTCACTACTTTACATATAAAGGCATGAAAACTTAGTTTTGCTTACGTATTCATTTGTCTTGGCATGAGCACTTCCTCTTATAATTATGTCTTCTGAGTGACTTTAAGAAAACTTTTATAGCAATTTAAGATTTTTTGGGAAAGGTTTGATTTTTTGTTGAATTTACAGACCTAGAAGTGACGTAGATGATTACGAATAGGCAAAGAACTGACGTTGTGCTAAGATGCACCTGTTCGAGTCCAAATGCTAGGTTTTCAGATATTTAAAGCTTATGTGAGTCAGTGTAAGACAATCTACATTTTTGAGACTCGAACCTATGACTGTAGACTAAGTGTAGCTATGACTAGAAGCCGAGATCAGTAAAAAATCATTGATTCAGCTATTTCAGTCCATACAGCATGAATAAAGCGGATAAAAGCATTTAATATTCAAAAATTCAAACATTATCAGTTTCATCCAGCACCAAACCAAATAAATCTCCTGAAAATCGAAGAAGCAGCATCTTCTCGAAAACTTAAAAATATCCCAACTTCCTTATCCAATCCTCATCGATTTCAGAGAAAGTTTCATAATTGCATAATGATTTAGGTATTAGCAGTTGACAAATAAAGGATTGCAAACGTAAAACTTTTGCCATTTACCACAAAATTATGATTCCTACTTCTGTTTAATTTCGACATCCGTTTCGGGTTTTAAGACGTAAAATATGAAAGAAAGTTCATTTCAGGGGATTCATCGTTTCGTAATTATATCACACTCCTGAGGTTACCGTAGCAGAAAAATGTATAAAGGATGAATATGAAAGTGGGTTGAGGAAGGCTGCTTAAAATGGGCATTTGGGTAATTAATAATAATTATGACATTCCGTTTCCATTGAAGTTGCCGTAATCATTTCCTTTTATTAATTAAAATATAATTCATCAATCAATGCAGTCATGGCATGAAAATTTATTGAAACATTTGGGCTTTAATTATGGCGGTTTTATTAGTTCCAAAAAAGTAATTATGTATTAGCAGAAAAGGGGAATTGAGGATGTAATTTAATTTTGAGGGATCGGTAATGGAGTTTTTTTGAATCATTTAAATATTTTAAAAAATTTAATGGGGGTTCATTTTGATTTTTGAAAGGTTTTAAAATTGATGGTTGGCCTTGGATGAAAGTTTGGCGGTTTAAGATACATTTTAATTATTTTTGAGGTTATAAAGTTAGATTAGATTTAAAATTTGAGTATTAGAAATTAATTGAGAATATTAGGGGTCATTCATAAGTGACGTCCAGTGAGAAATGAAATTTGTAAAACTTTATTTGATTTTTTTCCTTAAGATTATCAAACCAAAATAATATTTAAATGATGTCAGACCCTCTGAAAGTGTGACGTAACTTAAGATTAATCCCATATCCAATTCTTTAAACTTCTTCACCATAAACTGCCAGCAACTCCATAATTTAATACTCAATACATAAAACATTCAAGTACACGAAGGAAATTAAATTAAAAGCTCTATTTTCCAATGCCAAAGTTCCAACTATAATTTGATGTTCACTATCATGTACAGTTCACCTCCTCATTGTGTTAACATTTTCCAGAATTAGATTGGTGTTAAATGAGAAAAGTTTTGTTTAAATTAATTTCAATTATTTTTTTCAAGTTTTCTTCATATATACACATTTGCGCAAAAGTACGTGTACATGTGCATACGGTATCGAGCTAAGAACATATTAAGTAACATGAAATTTAATTTTCTCGCTAATTCTTCATCCAAAAGAAATTTTTTTTAAATTAGAAAAGAATGAGCAAGAAAAAAGTTCTTTTTAAACTTCCAAACTTATATTCATCCATGTACATGATGTATATTAAGTATGTTGTATGTACGTACGTATGTATGTGGGTAGAATCAAATAATGTTTTTGTAAAAATTTACACAATTAAGTCGAAGAAGTGATTTTAAAGAGGAGTGTGATGAAGGGTTTGTTTGGATGTTATGGGATGCATAGAGGGCTGTTGTTGGTTCAATAAATTGGTAAGTCATTTGGTATGTGGGGAGGCCTTACTTCGAGAAAAGTCAAAACCCATTCAAAACCTTACATAACATTCACTCAACCCCCAAAGCAACTGAAAGCAGCACATACAATATACAACGATGATAAGAGAAATGGAAAAAAGTAGGGAGAAACGAGGAAACATGACGTGAGATGAAAGGATTCTTAATTCAATTTTTTATAACAGTCTTTACTCCTCCTAAACTCATCAACTCGTTTCTCATCGCTTCATTCGTCCCCTTTTCTTTAACATCCTCATCTCTCGATTTTTTTTTCTTGTTGTTTTTCCTCTTCTTCCATCTACTTACTTTTTTTCATTCTTCTGTTTGCCCTCCTAACCCTTCATTGCACGAGCAGAAGCGTCTTTTTTTCTCTTCAATGTTGCTGTTTTGAAAAAAAATTTCATCATCCTTGTAGAGGGATTCTCGACAGCGCATTTATTCTTAAATTAAACCAATCGAAATTAGATTTGAATCAATTTGGAAGATGAACGAAAATGTTCAGGCTTTAAAAATGTTTTTCAACGAAAAATTGCCAGAAGTGCTTCTGGTATCTTTAATTGAGAATCACCTGGAAATATTTTATTTCTGCTTGAAATTATGAGAGTGAAAAACATGAAGTTAAGATTGAATTACACTAATGGGATGTAATGTTGGTAAAAATACCACAACAACTTACTCTTGGTAATATTTAAACGTTAAATGTGAGCTACTTTAGATCTTAATTTAGCTTACAAAGCTTGAAATTTAGGTAAGTGCTTTTGAAAAGGAGGCACATTAAGAAATAATAATTATTGATGATTATTAAAGGATTGAAGGCTGTTTGCAGAAGTATTACTTATAATAATTAATGTTGTTTCGTAAAGTTGATGATATTTAACTTTAAGTACATTCACACTAGCTTTTTTAATTATTTAAGGGTAGTTCTTATTCCAATACTCTGAATTCAAGATATTAAAGCTGCCAATGAAGCTAGTCTGGCTAGATTTAGCTTAAAATCATTAAATCAGACACATCAGTTGATTCCCATTACATTTTGAGCCTAGTTAAGAATCAAACATAGAACTTAAGAAGCATAAGACAAATGCAATAAACAATATTTGCTATTGATGCAATTGATGTCATTTTGTAGTCACCGCGAACCTCAACAAAAAGATCTACAACATCTTTCATTCCTAATTTGTAAAATCCTCAGTCTATCCGAAAAAAGGATAAAATAGCAACAAGAACCCGTTTCTATTAAGCTTAAGCAAAAAAGAAGTATGCTAAAAAGTACATAACATACCATCACACAGCATAGAATTCTCCTCGTTATATTATCACTGAGAGTGTGTTTTATGTTTTTTAATTTTTTTATTCACCTCCCTCGCGCCTTAACGTTTCTTCATTTCTTTCCTTCTTCATTTTCCCTTTTTTTTATGTGAAAACGAGCAGAGGATCC